TAACTGTAGAAGAATCCTTCCGGGCTTCTAATACTGAAAGTCTATCCAAGATCTGCTTCAGAAGTTTGTTGTCCGTCTGGGGCTGTTGCTTTGGCTGCGCTGGTTCCAGCTTGTCCAGTCTCTTTATAACTTCTGATAGCTGCTGAGATATCTTGGCAGAAACATCTGTATCTGGTGTGGGGTTCCTATCCATGACGTGTGGTTGCTGTTGGACCTTGGATCTCATCCTTGGATGTGGCTCTCCTTGCATCTCACATTCAATTTCTCTTGTGGTCTGCAGAAGATCCTCAAAATCCTGTCCTGAGTAAAATGAAGGCCGGGTAGCATTCTTTAACGTTTCCCGAAATAATCCACTCCAGAATTTATTCCTCAGAATACTGTCTCTCGATGTAGCATCCATGTAGCTTCCTCTATCTGTGGCTCTCTGTAGTAGGGTTTCCAATCTAATTCCCCATGATGCAACTGATTCAGATTCCTGTTGACGAGTCGTGTAGAAAGCTTGCATCAGGGATTCCGGATTATCCACCGTGCCATATAGTCCTTCCAGTTTCCTCACGATAGTGTCAACTGTTGCCTTGTCACCTAGTGAAAGAAGAACACTTGATGCATCACCTTTGAGGGACTTCCTCACAGCCTGAGACAGAATAGCAGGTGGGTAAGCATCATCTCGAATGAGGCATCTGACTTCCCATTTCCAAGTTTCAAATGATGACTCCGTTTTCGGTACAGGGGTTTCTCCGGAAAAGTGGGAAATCCTAGGCAACTGAAATTGGTACATCTGCTGGTTGAGAGATCCCCTGTATTCGTATGGTGATCTATTTGTAGGGACATGTTGATCAGTGGTGTGTCCAGGTTGAAATCCTAGATGTCTTGGCGTGATGGGCTCCCTTTTATGTACTGGCGTAGATACGTTGCTTTGGTGAAGCAAGAAGGAAGGGGGTACAGGATGAATGTTATACCGGCCAGTGGTAGTGAGATATGCTAACATCTTCTGTTCGTCTTCCTGTGTTATTGGCCTGTCATCATTCCAGTTCTCACCTCCAGAAGCCATGTTGAACGATGAAGTACGGATACAGGACTATCTATTGCCAGAACAACAGATGCACAATCACCAAAGTTCCGATTATCCTCAGTGATAAACAAGGAACACACCAAGTGCCACGCCAACTGAAGCCAATATAACGAACAAAAATAATACCAGCTTGTGTATACACAAGACCTACTGCCAACTCAGAAAGAGCAAACCAACCAAACACAACCCACGGATGTGACAGCCAACCAATATCGCCTGATTCACTAAGGATACTGTGTAACACAAACGTCAGTTCATAGCAATAAAATGTAAAGCATAATACAGTGAAGAGCAAATGTATAGCAGTCTACAGTGTGTAGCAAAGGGAGGTAATTACCAATGACAAAGTCAGGAATAGTGTCACCAGTTATTAAAAGAAAACTCAGTATGAAACCTACATGATTTTATTAAATAAGATTTTCTATAACGCGGAAGCAGAGTACCGATGTAAACACGCGTAGTCAAGAACAAGTTACGTAACCGGATGTAAACACGCGAAGTGAAGGCACGGAACGCGAAAAGTGACGCGAAAACAAGTGCTTGTTTACATTAGTAAGTGCTAATGCCGGTGATGTGGGTCGCGATCATTCTCATTCACCCAATGAAGTAAATACTAAAACTAATGCTAAATTAAGATATTGAAGAATGAAATAAACTAAGAAATAATCTAAGAAATTGAATAACAAAGTCCAAGATGAGACAATTATCTAAGTAGACATCGTTTATACAGATTGTCTAATTGTCTCCCAATATCTAAGACTAATATTTATAACTAAAGCTAAACACTAATGTTTATCTCAGACTAAGTATCAACTAACTAATAATAAATAACTGCAGTGTTAGTCAATATTCTTATCATCACATAATAAACACTTGAAGTATCTACTATATGGATTTATAAGAATATATATATATATACATGCAACAGGACCTAGTGCGCACAAATACTAATAAATAGATAAAGCTGGTAGTAAAGCATAAACATGCAGTATAGATATCACCAATTTCCACGGCATACACATTTCCAGCGTGAAATCAGCAGTGTAATAGTCAATCAGCAGACGTTAAAGTTCATCTTTGCAGATTGTAAAAAATAATGTTAACATTTCTGGAAGTGTTCGGAGTCCATCGCCATGAGAAGCGTACAACACAAGTACAGGTGGAGATATTCTAATGCACACTTGCCTGCATATAATGTCTATCACAGTCGTCCTTGAATATCACAGTCGTCCTTGAATATCAATGTCTGAATATAAATTATCACAGCTTGACAATATAGATTTATGATTATAAAATCATTAAAATGTCAAAGTATATACTTAAAAAGTCTGTGAAGGTGATTCAGGTGATAAGGATGATATGGTTGAAAACGATGATCACGTGGACGATAACGACGATGTTGATGTTGTGATGACGTTGTTAATGATGTTGTGGCTCTACCTCAGTCCCTGTTCGGGCGCCATTTTGTCGCGGGTTCTGCCAACGATGTAATCGAGGGAACTGAGGCGGTGCGGATGAGGTATAAAAGGATTTATTACCTGTAAAAATATATAAATTACATCAACATGAATTGATGTGTCGAGGAAGAAAGAATGTCTTCCCTCGACAATGGCGTGACATGAAGTCGCATTTTATTACGTTGCATAGCATGGCACAATATAATATTCAAACGCTGTTACTTTATATACTATAAATGCAGCAATAAATGATTTCGGCGGCACACGTTATGTGTGACGTCACCACATTATAAACAAAGTAACATTTTTATGATCTTTCATGTAATAATAAAATATATATACATGATAAACAAATGGAACTTAACCAGATCTTTCACTCACAATCTTACAGGATGGTGCTTTAAACTTAGTGTTTGAATTAGTAATCTCGTGCAACGCGATGCCTTTAGACCGAGTATGATATTCACAATTTACAACATTAATTATTTAGTTTCTACAATCGCGTTACCTATTCTATTGACTAGATTTCCATAAAGAAAGTAGATAGACACGGGTACATACCTGTAAAAATATATAAATTACATCAACATGAATTGATGTGTCGAGGAAGAAAGAATGTCTTCCCTCGACAATGGTGTGACATGAAGTGGCATTTGAAAGTGTCCACGTCACACCCCAGGTATTAGCACGAGATACTGATGGTAAGACAACCAGGAGTAAGATTGAGAGATGAAGCGTCCGTAAAATGAAAAAGAGATAACTCTTGGCAACTAATAAATCCGGCGACATCTGTAAGGCTGAAAAAAATAATAGTCTTGGTTCTCAAGCACCACCTGCAAAAGTCCGCCACACTTTTCGTTTTTATTTCCATTTTCAAAAAAAAAAAGTCCTATTACTTGAAAACAATCTGATCCAATATGGCACACAGTTACCTCCCTTTACATGTGCACTGCTTTACGAGGCATCCCCTGCTATGGTCATGGTGGCAATAGGAGCTGTTTGTTATGTAGGAAGGCCCTTTGCCATGTTGATGGTACACAACTGCTTATTTGGTCCAGACTAGTTTGAACAAACAAAAAAACAACCACCACCCACCCGCACTACTGGTATATTTTCAAAAGCCTTTGCCCGAGAACCAACTCTATTATTTTTTTAAGCCTAAGATATATCTGTTGTAGCAGGATCACTCGGGGTACATGAAGTTTTATGTGTTTCTTGTTAGGTTTTATACCACTCGCCTCCAGATCATGGTATAGAACCTAACCAACGCTGGACGCATAAAATCCATGTACCCCTTGTAATCCTGCTACAACTTCATAGTGTAACGATATATATCGAACTATCACAATCGTTTGCACTACAATAGTACTACATAGCCAATGGTATCATCGCCAATGCCAATGGTATCATCGATATCATTGATGCATAACAAGCTATGGTTTGTGATTAGTTATGAATAATACACATATTATGTAAATTTCAAACCTACCTGAGTGTCCAGTTTTTAATAACAAGATTTTGACATCTTAAGATTAGTGTAACTTCCCTTGAATTTGACTAGCCACAGGGAGGAATATGTTACAATAGTACTTAATCGATAGGAATTTGGTAATGCCAATAGTATTATCGATAGTATGCATTACAATTGATAGTTTGCAATTAGTTATAAAATAATACATATATTATGCGACCCGTGAAGATCCGGGGGTAGAATAGGTCTTCAGCAACCCATGTTTCCCAATAAAGGCAACTATGCTTGTCGTAAAAGGCGACTAACGGGATCGGGTGGTCAGGCTCGCTGACTTTGTTGATGCATGTCATTGATCTCAATTGCGTGGATAGATGCTCATGATATTAATCACTGGATTGTCTGGTCCAGACTTGATTATTTACAGACCGCCCGTCATATAGCTGGAATATTGCTGAGTGCGGCGTAAAACAACAAACCAACATATATTATACAAATATATGACCTACCTGTGTGGTTGGTTAACAAAGATTATGACGTCAGATTTGAGTTACTTCCCTTTGATTTCAGATGCCACAGGGAGGAAAATAGACCTCTTTGTGATTGTCAGCAATACTTTATTCATTTCCATTACAATGATTAAAATAATTATCAAGCCTTAAAGTTGGTTTCTGTCCCACTACTTCTAATGCAATAGTTGACGACTATAACATTACAATCACAATAGTGGAAAGTGAGTGAGTGAGTATGTTTTTACGCCGCTTTTAGCAATATTCCAGCAATATCACGGCGGGGGACACCAGAAATGGGCTTCACACATTGTACCCATGTCGGGAATCGAACCCGGGTCTTCGGCGCGACGAGCGAACGCTTTAACCACTAGGCTACCCGACCGCCCCCAATAGTGGAAAGAGCCCAATAGTCCCCCTAAGCATAACGATACTTTAGCATTAAGCTCTTGTGTACTGGGTATAGTTGTGAGTGTGTGTTCACCTGTTTGCAGGCAGACTTTGTGCGAGTGTCTCACCCAGATCAGGACTACTCCATGGCTGCGGAGGAGGCCTGCGTTGGACTGTCCGGACTTGTTGAAAAGTAAGACAAGCAGTGCTCACTCTGGCTTTTGAAACCGCCAGTCCAAGTGGAATAGCAACTCTAAAAACTACCAGTCCCCTCAAAGTTTGGCAGTCCCTATTTTGAACAAAGAAAACAATTTTAATTCTTTCAACATCATGTTCAACATTTCACATGAGACTAAGTCTCTAAAAATAGATATTTTACCCCAAATCAAAATGTTATTTACTTGCACTAAAAGAAGACAACGGGAAACTTTGATAAAAGACAAGCTGACTTTGTTAAAAAAATATACTTTATTGATTATCACCGATCTTTTGTTCAACAACAAAGATTACCGTATTCGACGTAATAAGCGCCTGGGGCTCTCTCAAAATTAGAAATAGGGGGCTCTTATTAGAATATAATTTTGGTTGAAAGATTGTAAATTTCGTAGTTTATTCTGACAGCCTGAAATGATACAAAAGAAAAGTATGTGCGTATCCTACACAACAGATAAATTTTCTAGAATTTAATTGCCCATAATTAAGGTGCATATAACACATGAGTGCGTATTATACACGAACAAATAAGTCTTGTGTACATTGATCAATTGGAAGGGGTGCTAATTAGGAATGTTCACTAGCCAATATATTAGCAAATATCGCCGTGGGCGCTTATTACGTCAAATACGGTATAAGGTACTTATTTGCCGGTCCATGGGGACTAATTGTCACATGAATTATCAGTCCATGATTTATTTTACTGGTAAAAAATAGTAATTACCAGTAAGAGGGAACACTGACTAGTAGGGAATCTCAGTCACCATGTGGGCATTCCAGGGAAGAACATGTCATGATGATGCTTAAAGTGGTGATTGTCCCCGTGATATTGCTGGAAGTTTGTTAAAGGGCAAGTTCACACGGAAATTAACCTATTTTTCTTGTACTTTTTCCACATTAAAAGTGTTAACCTAGAAGTGTCATAGACAAAAATATAAAAATATCACAATTAATTAACATATTTTTCGCATTAAAACGATTTATATTTTTCACATTTACCAAGTGTTCTATTTCCACAACAAAAACACCATGGCTTATGCCCCTTGCAATATGACGTCATTGGTGCCAATTGATAAACATTATGACGTCATCATGCTTTGTTAGAGCCGCTTCACGTGGTGTAGGTACAGGTGTGTGATTCTAGCGTCTCAGATGCCAGCCAGCATAGTGTTATGCTGAGTCACTACTGCGCCGGAGTGTGTCGTAGGCCATGTTGTTTTACCGCAAACTGGTACTTGATATCTTTTGCGTTGAGAATAGACAGGGACCCAGTTGAATTGGCACCAATTACGTCATAATCTAAGGGGGATAACTCAGGCCTGTTTAGCTCGAAAAACGAAGGCCTCATAACGGCATATCATTTTCACACTATTGTGAGCTTCCTACTTTCACTGTGAAAAAAATGAGTGTATATTTTCAAACACAGATACTAATTAATTCTAAAATTGCGTTTTGTTTAGAAAAAGAAAGAAAGTAATTTTTGCGTGTACACTTCCCCTTTAAGCAGTGTTTAATGCCAGGTTGTATTTGTGTTGTCCTTGCAGACTGAACACCGACACTGGTCTCCACCAGGCCCTCAAGACGGTGATAGACAACGGAGACTCCGTGCCCACTGACGATGTGGACAACAGGGTGGCCCAGCTCTTCATGTTTGACTTCGAACAAAGCGGGATTCACTTACCGGCTGACAAGGTACAGCCTTGTTGGTAATCTCCACTAGAGCTGGGACGAGTCTAAATTTACTACCCGGGTACCCACCCCCCAATAACCGTACCCGACCCTACTTGGTACTCACTGTAGATCTCAAGAGAGAGGTACAATATGTCCAGTTGGGAATAGTTTGACTGTAGCCCTGGCAAAAGGTATTTATATACACATATAAATCGATCTGGTCATGCATACACTGAAGTTGACTGGTTTTATCTTTATTCATGCATGAAGGAATGCGTACATAGTGATAAAGAAATGCGAACATTAGTGACTTGTGGAACCATGGAGTTCCACATAATTTTAGTCATTAAGCAATATATCACGTGACTAACCACAGGTCCGGGGAGTCCTGTTGGTACCCGGGTCCTACTCTGTATCCACGTGACACGAGTTACCTGTCCCAGCCCTAATCTCGCTTTAAGCAAAATTCCGGCAACATCACGGAGGGGGACACCAGAAATGTCGGGATCGAACCTGGGTCTTCGGTGTGACGAGCGAACACTTTAACCATTAGGCTACCCGACCGCCTCCAGAAACCAATGGACCAATGAAGCTGAAACTTTCCATGCTTCTTACAACCAATGATGACTCCTCAATTTGCTCGAGAGGTTTGAATCTGTTGTGCAGTATGAATCGCCTATCAACTGCTATTACTGAGCCAAAATGTCTGGCGATGTTCATTTGGTTGTGGTTGTCGACAGTATTTTAGAGTTTCATCTTGTTTTTCACTGTTCTTGTAAATTCTCTTTAAATGCATTTTGGTCTATGTAGACATCTCTGAAATTTGAACTTTGGCAGTGATGTTTCTATTTTGGTTGAAATCATGTTTGGATGAAATGTGATGCATTACTGTTAGTTTTTAGTCCTCAGTATTTATGATGATTTGTTTAAGGAGATAAACATAATCTGTTTTCAATGTGGGCTAGGTTACCTGTAGATTTAACCTCACTTAATTAAATCTGGAACCTAACATGCAGTGCAAGATTTCAAATTTTAAATTTCAAATATGCCTACCAAACAACCCGTTTCCTGTGGTAAAATTGATTTCTTATTGACATAGGAATTGGCTTTTTATTGTACCAAGATTTTATTCCTTCTTCCAGTGCGTAGCTACTCTACAGTATAAAAATCGTTTCTCATCAAAATGATGTTACAAAGATGGGTTTCAATCTAGCTTTGTGTCAACCACTGGTTTACCTCGCCCGACTGTTTATGTCGGTCGGGACACACTTTGAATGTTGCTGATTACGGGTTAAGCAATTTTGACTTGATCTTGTTTCAGAGAGAGAAGTTTGTGAAGCTGAACGAAAACATCCTGATGCTGGGGAGTTACTTTGTTCAACGAACACACAGTCCATCCTCTGTACCTAAAGATAAACTGCCACAGAATCTCAGATATTGGTGAGTGATGCAGTTCAGGTCTTGCTTCTTGAAGCTGAGTGGTCTAAGGCACTCACTCACTCACTCACTCACTCACTCACTCACTCACTCACTCACTCACTCACTCACTCACTCACTCACTCACTCACTCACTCACTCACCCACCCAATACCCCCCCTAACACTCCCTGACCCACTCATCCACCCAATACCCCCCACACTCACTCACTGACTCACTCACCCACCCAATACCCTCCACACTCACTCACTGACTCGCTCACCCACCCAATACCCCCCCCACACACTCACTCCCTGACCCACTCACCCACCCAATACCCCCCCTAACACTCCCTGACCCACTCATCCACCCAATACCCCCCACACTCACTCACTGACTCACTCATCCACCCAATACCCTCCACACTCACTCCCTGACTCACTCATCCACCCAATACCCCCCACACTCACTCCCTGACTCACTCACCCACCCAATACCCCCCCACACACTCACTCACTGACTCACTCATCCACCCAATACCCCCCACACTCACTCACTCCCTGACTCACTCATCCACCCAATACCCCCCACACTCACTCCCTGACTCACTCACCCACCCAATACCCCCCCACACACTCACTCACTGACTCACTCATCCATCCAATACCCCCCACACTCACTCACTGACTCACTCACCCACCCAATACCCCCCCACACACTCACTCACTGACTCACTCATTCACCCAATACCCCCCACACTCACTCCCTGACCCACTCATCCACCCAATACCCCCCACACTCACTCACTTCCTGACCCACTCATCCACCCAATACCCCCCACACTCACTCACTGACTCACTCACCCACCCAATACCCCCCCTAACACTCCCTGACCCACTCATCCACCCAATACCCCCCACACTCACTCACTGACTCACTCACCCACCCAATACCCCCCCTAACACTCCCTGACCCACTCATCCACCCAATACCCCCCCACACTCACTCCCTGACCCACTCATCCACCCAATACCCTCCACACTCACTCACTGACTCACTCATCCACCCAATACCCTCCACACTCACTCACTGACTCACTCATCCACCCAATACCCCCCACACTCACTCCCTGACCCACTCATCCACCCAATACCCCCCCACACTCACTCACTCCCTGACCCACTCATCCACCCAATACCCTCCACACTCACTCACTGACTCGCTCACCCACCCAATACCCCCCCACACACTCACTCACTGACTCACTCACCCACCCAATACCCCCCCCACACTCACTCACTGACTCACTCACCCACCCAATACCCTCCACACACTCACTCACTGACTCACTCACCCACCCAATACCCCCCCCACACTCACTCACTGACTCACTCATCCACCCAATACCCTCCACACTCACTCACTGATTCTATCACCCACCCAATACCCCCCCCACACTCACTCACTGACTCGCTCACCCACCAAATACCCCCCCCCACACACTCACTCACTCACTCGCTCACCCACCCAATACCCCCCCCCCCCCCACACACTCACTCACTGATTCACTCACCCACCCAATACCCCCCCACACACTCACTCACTGACTCGCTCACCCACCCAATACCCCCCCCAACACTCACTGATTCACTCACCCACCCAATACCCCCCCCACACACTCACTCACTGACTCGCTCACCCACCCAATACCCCCCCCCCCCCCCCCCCCACTCACTCACTGATTCACTCATCCACCCAATACCCCCCCCACACACTCACTCACTGACTCGCTCACCCACCTAATAACCCCCCCCCACACACACACACACACACTCACTCACTGATTCACTCACCCACCCAATACCCTCCACACTCACTCACTGATTCACTCACCCACCCAACACCCCCCCCCCCCCCCCCACACTCACTCACTGACTCGCTCACCCGACCAATACCCCCCCCCCCCCACACACACTCACTCACTGACTCGCTCACCCACCCAATACCCCCCCCCCCCCCCCCACACTCACTCACTGATTCACTCACCCACCCAATACCCCCCCACACACTCACTCACTTATTCACTCACCCATCCAATACCCCCCCCACACACTCACTCACACACTCACTCACTGAATCACTCACCCACCCAATACCCCCCCCCCCCCCCCCCCCCACACACACACTCACTCACTGACTCGCTCACCCACCCAATACCCCCCCCAACACTCACTGATTCACTCACCCACCCAATACCCCCCCCATACACTCACTCACTGACTCGCTCACCCACCCAATACCCCCCCCAACACTCACTGATTCACTCATCCACCCAATATCCCCCCTACACACTCACTCACTGACTCGATCACCCACCCAAATCCCCCCCCCCACACACACACACACACACACACTCACTCACTGATTCACTCACCCACCCAATACCCTCCACACTCAGTCACTGATTCACTCACCCACCCAATACCCCCCCCCACACTCACTCACTGACTCGCTCACCCACCCAATACCCCCCCCCCCCCCCCACACACACACACACTCACTCACTGACTGACTCGCTCACCCACCCAATATACCCCCCCCCCCCCACTCACTCACTGACTCGCTCACCCACCAAATACCCCCCACACACACTCACTCACTGACTCGCTCACCCACCCAATACCCCCCCCCCCCCCCTCGCCCCACTCACTCACTGACTCGCTCACCCACCCAATACCCCCCACACACACTCACTGACTCACTCACCCACCCAATACCCTCCACACTCACTCACTGATTCACTCACCCACCCAATACCCTCCACACTCACTCACTGATTCACTCACCCACCCAATACCCCCCACACACACTCACTCACTGACTCACTCACGCACCCAATACCCCCCCACACACTAATTCACTGACTCACCCATCCACCCAATGCCCTCCACACTCACTCACTGACTCGCTCACCCACCCAATACCCCCCCACACACTCACTCACTGACTCACTAATCCACCCAATACCCCCCTCCCCCTCCCACACTCACTCACTGACTCACTCACCCACCCAATACCCCCCCCCACATTCACTCACTGTCTCACTCACGCACCCAATACCCCCCACACACTCACTCAATGACTCACTCACGCACCCAATACCCCCCCACACTCACTGACTCACTCACCCACCCAATACCCTCCACACTCACTCACTGACTCGCTCACCCACCCAATACCCCCCCACACTCACTCACTGACTTACTCACCCGCCCAATACCCTCCACACTCACTCACTGACTCACTCACCCACCCAATACCCCCCCACACTCACTCACTGACTTACTCACCCACCCAATACCCTCCACACTCACTCACTGACTTACTCACCCACCCAATTCCCCCCCCACACTCACTCACTGACTCACTCACCCACCCAATACCCCCCCACATTCACTCACTGTCTCACTCACGCACCCAATACCCCCCCACACTCACTCACTGACTCACTCACCCACCCAATACCCCCCACACACTCACTCAATGACTCACTCACGCACCCAATACCCCCCCACACTCACTCACTGACTCACTCACCCACCCAATACCCTCCACACTCACTCACTGACTCGCTCACCCACCCAATATCCCCCCACACTCACTCACTGACTTACTCACCCACCCAATACCCTCCACACTCACTCACTGACTCACTCACCCACCCAATACCCCCCCCCACACTCACTCACTGACTCACTCACGCACCCAATACCCCCCACACTCACTCACTGACTCACTCACACACACACACACACACTCACTGACTCACTGACTCATTCACCCACCCAATACCCCCATCTTCCCCCCCCCCCCCACACACACACTCACTATCTCACTCACTTACTCCTCCCCCCCTCTGTTTCTCCTTCCCTCCCTCCCCCGTTACTCCCCACCCACCCATGCAAACTTGGTACATGTTTTACCAGGGACTGAAGTGCTGCCTTTTGCTATTGTGGGGCCCTTGGGAATTTGACATCTTCTGATGACTTGTTTAAAATGGCATGAAAAACATAACTATTTCTTTAACTGGCCTCAAATGGATTTTTCATTAGTTCTATTCTGAATAACATCTGAATCAGATGGGGAGCGGTCGGTTAGCCTAGTGGTTAAAGCATTCGCTCATCACGCCGAAGACTCGGGTTCGATAACCGACATGGGTACAATGTGTGAAGCCCATTTCTGGTGTCCCCCGTCGTGATATTGCTGGAATATTGCTAAAAGCTGCGTAAAACCATACTCAATCACTCACTCTGAATTAGATGAAAGTACCACATGATTCCGACAGTTGTCATAGTCATCGAGCCTGTTGTCTGTATCATGTTTATTGCACATTCACTATGTCCTATGCATGGTCAAAATCTACATTGTTTCTGTAGTCAGGTGTGGAGTGGACAACCTTAGCTTGGTTACTGATGGTGGTAACCGCTTTGGTATTAGGGACAAGGTGTCCAAACTTGCATCAAAAGGTCCATGGTTTGAAAGCCCATTTTAGCATTTTGCCCCCGTTTCATTGGCTGTCAATGTGTGGCAACCCAAGATGTCCCTTCTGTAGACAGGGGAGTGTGTAGCATGGTGTGGCGTCAGATGACCCAGGTGCTGTTCAAAGCGATCTTAGCGCTAAGGTTGTCGTTACTCCCATACCTCAACATAGACATAAAGCTAAGTTTGTTTTGTACATTGGCTCCCAATGTGTGATTGAGCATGGTCATATTTAATGTAAAAGAAACAGGTCTCAGTACCCTACTATTCAGCCCAAGATGTCCCTTCTGTAGACAGGGGAGTGTGTAGCATGGTGTGGCGTCATCGCACAGATGACCCAGGTGCTGTTGTACAAAGCAATCTTAGCACTAAGGTTGTCGTTACTCCCATACCTTATAATAGACATAGCGCATACCGTATATTGCTGTGTATAAGGCGACCCCACGTATAAGACGACCCCCCTGTACACGCCTTCAAAATCAACCCAAAATCCTATACTCCGTGTATAAGGCGACCTGGAATGATGCACATCACAAGTGCCTTATATTTGCAATAAAAATATGTTTAGGTTGTAGGTTGGTTGGTACAACAGCACCCTGGGTTTAACACAAATGTATTGAATAGCTGCAGAAAAGCATACATTGCATCGCAAGGGATGCACAATATTCATTGAACTTATTTCTTGACAAGAAATGTAATGGTCCTGTGATTTAAGTAATTATCAAATCTTACAGGACAGTAAACCTTTTCATTATTTTATTTTAAACCTTATACTTCCTGTAAGAACCCTGGGGTGGTGGGGAGACCCGGGATTGATTCCCCACATGGGCACAATGTGTGAACCCAATTTCTGGTTGCGATGTTGCTGGAATATTGCTTAAAGCGTTGTAAAACCAGACTCACTCACTCCTCTAAGGACCCTTGATCGCTGTGCAGAGTTAAACCCAACTCACTCATTCACTCACTCACCACATGGCTGCAACATTAACAACTTGTGTTTGTTACAGTTTCAACGTGGATGGCGACAACACCTACGTGACAGGCCTGTGCTCCGACCACTACAGCGACGTGGTGAGTGACAGACCACGGGACAAGGATAGTCTCCTTTCACTAGTCTCAGTAATCTTTCTTACAGGTCAGGACATGTCAATGATTGCTGATGGTCAGTTGCGGCTGTTCAACGATGTTGCCTTTCATTAAGCGTCTAAGGAAAATAGATCTGAATGTGAAAAAATTGACATTTGCACTCATGGCTATGACCCTCGTGAAACTATCAACATTGTCGGGTCCCTCGATGAGATGAACATGTTACTTGGCAGGGAAAGTTACTATCCTATTAGTGGTGTACGTTCCTGATGATCGTCATGGTCTCACTCTGGAAACTGTAGGTTCATTGAAGCAGTCTGAAAGTAGTTTGTCAGAAAGTGATACTTCACTTTTAAATTTGAAATATTGATTTTATTTTTCAAAATAATGTTTTTCATCACCAAGTAGGTTTGTTTTTGTTTTTTTCTTAGTTGTTTAACGCCGCACCCAGCAATATTCCAGCTATATGACGGCGGTCTGTAAATAATCGAGCCTGGACCAGACAATCAAGTGATTAATATCATGAGCATCGATCCTCACAATTGGGATCAATGACATGCATCAACCAAGTCAGCGAGCCTGACCACCCGATCCCAATAGGTGCCTCTTACGATAAGCATAGTCCCCTTTCACAGCAAGCATGGGTTGCTGAAGACCTATTCTACCCCGGATCTTCACGGGTCACGAAGTACATTTTTTTCATCACTAAGTACATAAGAAAGCACATTGATTTTCAATGACTGGGTTTGATCACTCACTCAACCAAAAATAGTACAATCTGAAATTTACCAAGAAAGCGCTATCCCAAATATAATATCAGTTACATTTGACCGCTTTGTAAATGGCATTATGTATTCATACTATACTAGGCTTAATAAAATAAAAGAATTGGTTCTCAGGCAATGGTTTTTGAAAATATAGTGCGGGTGGGCGTTGTCTTTTTTTGGGGTTGGGGGGGTTGGGGGGGGGTGTCAAACTAGTATTCAACCAAATAAACAGTTGTGTAACCAAATAAAGGGCCTCCCTACATAAACGTATTCATTGATGAGTAAAATAGTGGAATACAGTATTGGACTACTGTTGGATTTGGAATATTTAAGGATTTTTAGTTTGTTTTAAAAATGGAAATAAAAACGAAACGTGCAGTGGACTTTGTGATAAAGCGGGCGGTGTCTGAGAACCAAGATTCTTTGTTACTTTTCAAAAGAAGTTAAAGGACACCCAATTTTTTCAGATGACAATAGTTAATCTGTCATGAGATGATAGACTAACTATAGTCTCATGAAAAGATTGTATGTTCTTTTAACTTCGTTTGAGTAGTATTCCACGGAATTTAGGAAGATGAGAACAAATTAACTATGTCTTCTCAATTTGCCTGCCAAAGGCACATAGTGTAAAGTCCTGGATAAATTCCTGTCTGATCTACATTGGTGGTATTGTGTTTCAGGTGCGAGAGACGGCATATAAAACATTTCTGTATCCAGACCAGCACCAGTTGGAGATCCTAGATGCACTGTTACGCGCTCGACACCAGTTGGCCGAACTTGTCGGCTTCCCGACCTACGCTCATAGAGCCACCAGGGGCACGATACTGGAAAACCCAGGTCAGAAGGATCTTGTCTCGCAACCGGAATGAACCACTGTTGTGATAGATTTCTGTCTGCAGTGATTTATTTAGACAGGCTCAGAGGCCGATATTTGGCCCCAAGTCTGAACCAAAGGTCCAAATTAGAATTACCAATTTCCCAATTCATGTTATGGGACCCATGAAGATGTGGGTAAGGATTGGCCTTCAGCAACCCATGCTTGTTGAAATTAGAATTACCAATTTCCCAATTCATGTTATGGGACCCATGAAGATCCGGGTAAGGATTGGTCTTCAGCAACCCATGCTTGATGAAAGAGGCGACTAACTGGATCGGGTAGTCGTCCTTGCTGATTTGGCTGATGCATGTCATCGTATCCCAATTACGAATCGTAGATTAATGCCTGGTCTGACGCAATGGCTTGTGCAACCCCAGTAATGTCACTGTGTGTGGTGAGTCACTGTGTGTGGTGAGTCACTGTGTGTGGTGAGTCACTGTGTGGTGAGTCACTGTGTGTGGTGAGTCACTGTGTGCGGTGAGTCACTGTGTGCGGTGAGTCACTGTGTGCGGTGAGTCACTGTGTGTGGTGAGTCACCGTGTGTGGTGAGTCACCGTGTGTGGTGAGTCACTGTGTGTGGTGAGTCACTGTGTGTGGTGAGTCACTGTGAGTGGTGAGTCACTGTGTGCGGTGAGTCACTGTGTGCGGTGAGTCACTGTGTGTGGTGAGTCACTGTGTGTGGTGAGTCACTGTGTGCGGTGAGTCACTGTGTGCGGTGAGTCACTGTGTGCGGTGAGTCACTGTGTGCGGTGAGTCACTGTGTGCGGTGAGTCACTGTGTGTGTTGAGTCACTGTGTGTGGTGAGTCACTGAAACAGGTCATCCCAGGGAAGAAGAGGTTCTCAGTATGTTCTTGTTATTTAGAGTCCTCGACTCCATGTTTCCGGGTTCAGTTTTCACGTGGGTTCAATGTGTGAAGCCCATGTCTGGTGTCCTCCACTGTGGTATTGCGGGAATATTGTGAAAAGTCGTGTAAAACCATACTCACTCACTGTTGGAGCAGCCTCTAGTGTATAGGCCTGTGAAGATCCGGTTTAGCATTGGTCTTCAGCAACTCATACTTGTCTTAGGAGTCGACTAAGGGGATCAGGTGGTCAGGTTCACTTACTGGGTTGATGCATGTCATCGTATCCCTATGACATAGATTGTTGCTTATCACTGGATTGTCTTGTCCAAAGTCAATTATTTAAAGTGAGTGAGTGAGTATGGTTTCACGCCGCTTTTAGCAATATTCCAGCAATATCACGGCGGGGGACACCAGAAATGGGCTTCACACATTGTACCCATGTCGGGAATCGAACCCGGGTCTTCGGCGTGACGAGCGAACGCTTTAACCACTAGGCTACCCGACCGCCCCCAATTATTTAAAGACCTGTGTCATACAGCTGGAATAAGGCTGTGTGCAGAATTAAGCAACAAACAAACAAACATCTTGGTGATGTGGCTGGTTGAATGGTGGAGATCACTGATCATGCTTTGTCACTGTTCTGGACTGGAGCATTGATGAGTCGCTGTGATATAGTTAGAACATTGCTGACTGCAACGTTAAACTATTAAACCAACATTAAACCATATTGTTGCTACATCACTAAATATGAATTAGTCCTGTCTATGTATTTCAGTTTCATTTGTGAAAGGGGGGCACGGGTGGCCCAGTCGTCTAAGGCGCTGCGATTGGTGTGTCAGCACCATACCCGTGCTCGTGGGTTTCACCGAAGTGGTAAACGTCTGAGACCTGCATCACTTCGGGCTTTCCTCCCACTTTAAGCTGACACGCCGTGATATAACTGGAATAATGTTAAAAGCGGCGTTAAACCCAACTCACTCACTCACTCATTTGTGAAAGAGTACTTGTGCGACTATGTCCTTCTAGTTATTGCCTCAGGAGCACATTTATGTTCTTTAGAGGGTCTTAATTTGGGCTAAATAGCAGTTTGATTCAATTCTAACTGTACTGATTATCATATTTAGACAATTACCCTTACCATACTAAGACAATTACCCTTATTGTACTAAGATAATTTCCCTTATTGTACTGAGACAGTTACCCTTATTGTTCCAAGACAATTATCTTGATTGTACTGAGACAATTACCTTTATTGTACAGAGACAATTACCCAATTACCCTTATTGTTCTAAGACAATTACCCTGATTGTACAGAGACAATTACCCAATTACCCTTATTGTTCTAAGACAATTACCCTGATTGTACGGAGACAATTACCCAATTACCCTTATTGTTCTAAGACAATTACCCTGATTGTACGGAGACAATTGCCCTTAACGTACTAAGACAGTGTCTCACTTAATTTTCACACATGGGAAAGGGTCCACGTTTAGGCTGTAAGATGGAAACCAGACAAAGCCACGTCTTTCTTCAGGTGGCAAATGCAATGGTTGCCTCAAAGATGCCTTAGTTTATCTCTCAAAGTGACCCATCTATTAAACGTTGATAACAATATGTTTCTGGATATTCACAGAGTCTGTGATGAAGTTCTTACGGAACCTTTCCAACAAGCTAAAACATAGGTAAGAGTAAGGGCACTGTCAACAGGACCAGAATCTTCCTATTAAAATTACAAGATCCGACCTACATGTCAGATTTTATGAAAACTGTGTCAGTGAAAAGTGTAAACTGCCAGATCTCTCCGGATTGCATGAGTGCAGATAGGCCTTCTAAGACCCCAAACTCACTGCCTGTCATAGGAACTCAACATTATTTGACACACTCACTGGACCCGGGAAGATCCGGGTTAGACTAGGTCTGCAGCAACCCATACTTGCCTTAAAAGGCGACTATTCTTGTCGTAAGAGGCGACTAACAGGATCGGGTGGTCAGGCTCGCTGACATGGTTGATACATGTCATCGTATCCCAGTTGTGTAGATCGATGCTCATGAGGTCATTCACTTGAATGTCTTGTCAAGACTCGATTGTTTACAGACAGCCGTCATTTAGCTTGAATATTGCTGAGTGTGGTGTTAAGCAAACTAACAAACAAACAAACAAACAAAACCAGCTTCAGGCTCTTGTCCACATTGAGCTGAAACACTGTTGCACAACTGAAATACTTTCAAAGCAGGATGAATCCGACTCATTCACTGTGAATGCACCCCCAAATTTGTTATTTGATTTAAACTGAAAGATTTCTTGATTAATTTCGTAACAATACAAACAATGAATATCATCATCATGATGATACATGTCTTCTCAGAGCTGGCAAGGACTACGTAGACATTCTCCACCTGAAGCAGAGGCACTCAAGTTCCGATCAGGTGAGGCGTGTCTACTTTATTACCTAATAAGGCAAGCATATCATCATTTATACATTTTGTCTTATTCTTGTTTGTGTTGTATCAACTGCTGTTTTACCAAAACTCCTGTTGCTATGGCTACTGTATGATGTATTTCTATGACTTTAAAATATATTTTTGATATATAATAGTCGTCTATTTACCAGTAGGAACCTTGGGTAGAATAGATCACAAACACTTAATAATGTTCGATTGTTTTGAGTCTTTTTTGACACTGCAATTAGGGCTGCATTCGGGTGAGATGTTCTTTCTGTTCTCCGGGAACACAGCACAGGAAGTTTCCACTACCTTTCGGAAATGACATGAGATAAGCATATAGTATGAGTCAGGATAAGAATAAATGATATTTTAACTCTAAAAAATACATTCTTGAGTATTAAAACAGGTGATGTCCTTATGCTACCAGACATTCACAGTTGTACTTGCAATGGTTCTTCCCTGTTTTGTTGCAGCGTATTATGCCATGGGACCCACCTTACTACTCAGCCATTGGCAGGCAGGAGAGGTGATTATGCTTCAGTCAGCTTGGGGCGGTGGGGTAGCCTAGTGGTGACAGCGATTGCTTGTCATGCCCATGTCTCTGGCTGTATATTGCTGGAAAATTAGATGACGTTGATCAAGTCTATGACCTTAGATGACCATGAACAAAACTGTGACCTTAGATGACTATGACCAAGACTGTGACCTTAGATGACTATGATCAAGACTGTGACCTAAGACGACTCTGAACAAGACTGTGACCTAAGATGACTCTGAACAAGACTGTGACCTTAGATGACTAATGAACAAGACTGTGACCTTAGATGACTATGAACAAGACTGTGACCTAAGATGACTCTGAACAAGACTGTGACCTAAGATGACTATGAACAAGACTGTGACCTAAGATGACTATGAACAAAACTGTGACCTTAGATGACTATGACCAAGACTGCGACCTTAAATAACTATGACCAAGACTGTGACCTAAGATGACTCTGAACAAGACTGTGACCTAAGATGACTATGAGCAAGACTGTGACCTTAGATGACTCTGAACAAGACTGTGACCTAAGATGACTATGAGCAAGACTGTGACCTTAGATGACTCTGAACAAGACTGTGACCTTAGATGACTATGAACAAGACTGTGACCTTAGATGACTCTGAACAAGACTGTGACCTAAGATGACTCTGAACAAGACTGTGACCTTAGATGACTATGAGCAAGACTGTGACCTTAGATGACTCTGAACAAGACTGTGACCTAAGATGACTCTGAACAAGACTGTGACCTTAGATGACTATGAACAAGACTATGACCTTAGATGACTATGAACAAGACTGTGACCTCAGATGACTCTGACCAAGACTGTGACCTCAGATGACTCTGAACAAGACTGTGACCTCAGATGACTCTGAACAAGACTGTGACCTTAGATGACTCTGAACAAGACTATGACCTTAAATAACTATGCACAAGACTGTGACCTAAGATGACTATGAACAAGTCTGTGACCTTAGATGACTATGAACAAAACTGTGACCTTAGATGACTATGAACAAGACTGTGACCTTAGATGACTATGAACAAAACTGTGACCTTAGATGACTATGAACAAGACTGTGACCTTAGATGACTATGAACAAGACTGTGACCTAAGATGACTCTGAACAAGACTGTGACCTTAGATGACTCTGAACAAGACTGTCACCTTAGATGACTATGACCAAGACTGTGACCTTAGATGACTTTGAAAAAGACTGTGACCTTAGATGACTCTGAACAAGACTGTCACCTTAGATGACTATGACCAAGACTGTGACCTTAGATGACTTTGAACAAGACTGTGACCTTAGATGACTCTGAACAAGACTGTCACCTTAGATGACTATGAACAAGATTATGACCTTAGATGACTATGAACAAGACTGTGACCTGAGATGACTTTGAACAAGACTGTGACCTAAGATGACTATGAACAAGACTGTGACCTAAGATGACTTTGAACAAGACTGTGACCTTAGATGACTATGAACAAGACTGTGACCTAAGATGACTATGAACAAGACTGTGACCTAAGATGACTATGAACAAGACTGTGACCTTAGATGACTCTGAACAAGACTGTGACCTTAGATGACTATGAACAAGACTGTGACCTTAGATGACTATGAACAAGACTGTGACCTAAGATGACTCTGAACAAGACTGTGACCTTAGATGACTATGAACAAGACTGTGACCTAAGATGACTCTGAACAAGACTGTGACCTTAGATGACGATGAGCAAGTCTGTGACCTCAGATGACTCTGAACAAGACTGTGACCTAAGATGACTCTGAACAAGACTGTGACCTAAGATGACTCTGAACAAGACTGTGACCTTAGATGACTATGAACAAGACTGTGACCTTAGATGACTATGACCAAGACTGCGACCTTAAATAACTATGAACAAGACTGTGACCTAAGATGACTCTGAACAAGACTGTGACCTAAGATGACTCTGAACAAGTCTATGACCTTAGATGACCATGAACAAAACTGTGACCTTAGATGACTATGACCAAGACTGCGACCTTAAATGACTCTGAACAAGACTGTGACCTAAGATGACTCTGAACAAGACTGTGACCTTAGATGACTATGACCAAGACCGTGACCTCAGATGACTCTGAACAAGACTGTGACCTGCGATGACTATGAACAAGACTGTGACCTTAGATGACTATGAACAAGACTGTGACCTTAGATGACTATGAACAAAACTGTGACCTTAGATGACTATGAACAAGACTGTGACCTAAGATGACTCTGAACAAGACTGTGACCTTAGATGACTATGAACAAGACTGTGACCTTAGATGACTATGAACAAGACTGTGACCTTAGATGACTATGAACAAGTCTATGACCTTAGATGACCATGAACAAAACTGTGACCTTAGATGACTCTGAACAAGACTATGACCTTAAATAACTATGAACAAGACTGTGACCTAAGATGACTATGAACAAGTCTGTGACCTTAGATGACTATGAACAAAACTGTGACCTTAGATGACTATGAACAAGACTGTGACCTTAGATGACTATGAACAAAACTGTGACCTTAGATGACTATGAACAAGACTGTGACCTTAGATGACTATGAACAAGACTGTGACCTAAGATGACTCTGAACAAGACTGTGACCTTAGATGACTCTGAACAAGACTGTCACCTTAGATGACTATGACCAAGACTGTGACCTTAGATGACTTTGAACAAGACTGTGACCTTAGATGACTCTGAACAAGACTGTCACCTTAGATGACTATGACCAAGACTGTGACCTTAGATGACTTTGAACAAGACTGTGACCTTAGATGACTATGAACAAGACTATGACCTTAGATGACTATGAACAAGATTATGACCTTAGATGACTATGAACAAGACTGTGACCTGAGATGACTATGAACAAGACTGTGACCTAAGATGACTATGAACAAGACTGTGACCTAAGATGACTTTGAACAAGACTGTGACCTTAGATGACTATGAACAAGACTGTGACCTAAGATGACTATGAACAAAACTGTGACCTAAGATGACTCTGAACAAGACTGTGACCTTAGATGACTCTGAACAAGACTGTCACCTTAGATGACTATGACCAAGACTGTGACCTTAGATGACTTTGAAAAAGACTGTGACCTTAGATGACTCTGAACAAGACTGTCACCTTAGATGACTATGACCAAGACTGTGACCTTAGATGACTTTGAACAAGACTGTGACCTGAGATGACTTTGAACAAGACTGTGACCTAAGATGACTATGAACAAGACTGTGACCTAAGATGACTTTGAACAAGACTGTGACCTTAGATGACTATGAACAAGACTGTGACCTAAGATGACTATGAACAAGACTGTGACCTAAGATGACTATGAACAAGACTGTGACCTTAGATGACTCTGAACAAGACTGTGACCTTAGATGACTATGAACAAGACTGTGACCTTAGATGACTATGAACAAGACTGTGACCTAAGATGACTCTGAACAAGACTGTGACCTTAGATGACTATGAACAAGACTGTGACCTAAGATGACTCTGAACAAGACTGTGACCTTAGATGACGATGAGCAAGTCTGTGACCTCAGATGACTCTGAACAAGACTGTGACCTAAGATGACTCTGAACAAGACTGTGACCTAAGATGACTCTGAACAAGACTGTGACCTTAGATGACTATGAACAAGACTGTGACCTTAGATGACTATGACCAAGACTGCGACCTTAAATAACTATGAACAAGACTGTGACCTAAGATGACTCTGAACAAGACTGTGACCTAAGATGACTCTGAACAAGTCTATGACCTTAGATGACCATGAACAAAACTGTGACCTTAGATGACTATGACCAAGACTGCGACCTTAAATGACTCTGAACAAGACTGTGACCTAAGATGACTCTGAACAAGACTGTGACCTTAGATGACTATGACCAAGACCGTGACCTCAGATGACTCTGAACAAGACTGTGACCTGCGATGACTATGAACAAGACTGTGACCTTAGATGACTATGAACAAGACTGTGACCTTAGATGACTATGAACAAAACTGTGACCTTAGATGACTATGAACAAGACTGTGACCTAAGATGACTCTGAACAAGACTGTGACCTTAGATGACTATGAACAAGACTGTGACCTTAGATGACTATGAACAAGACTGTGACCTTAGATGACTATGAACAAGTCTATGACCTTAGATGACCATGAACAAAACTGTGACCTTAGATGACTCTGAACAAGACTATGACCTTAAATAACTATGAACAAGACTGTGACCTAAGATGACTATGAACAAGTCTGTGACCTTAGATGACTATGAACAAAACTGTGACCTTAGATGACTATGAACAAGACTGTGACCTTAGATGACTATGAACAAAACTGTGACCTTAGATGACTATGAACAAGACTGTGACCTTAGATGACTATGAACAAGACTGTGACCTAAGATGACTCTGAACAAGACTGTGACCTTAGATGACTCTGAACAAGACTGTCACCTTAGATGACTATGACCAAGACTGTGACCTTAGATGACTTTGAACAAGACTGTGACCTTAGATGACTCTGAACAAGACTGTCACCTTAGATGACTATGACCAAGACTGTGACCTTAGATGACTTTGAACAAGACTGTGACCTTAGATGACTATGAACAAGACTATGACCTTAGATGACTATGAACAAGATTATGACCTTAGATGACTATGAACAAGACTGTGACCTGAGATGACTATGAACAAGACTGTGACCTAAGATGACTATGAACAAGACTGTGACCTAAGATGACTTTGAACAAGACTGTGACCTTAGATGACTATGAACAAGACTGTGACCTAAGATGACTATGAACAAAACTGTGACCTAAGATGACTCTGAACAAGACTGTGACCTTAGATGACTCTGAACAAGACTGTCACCTTAGATGACTATGACCAAGACTGTGACCTT